TTGCAAGAAGATTTTTGATAGCACAAAGTCCAATAAAACCTAACTTTCCTGTTCATATTATTGTAATTTAGTTATGAATATATCAACTCTTCCCTGGCATTTACTTTCTTGTACTACTCTATGCATTTGGTTTTAGTTTGTCTTACAACTAGGATTTTTTTAAACCACAAAGTTGATCATACACTGTGGCTTTCAGTACTATTTGTATCAAAGTTGTTGCTGTCTTTGTTGTAGAATGGGGGCAGCTGAGCAAGTTGAGAGAGCAGCTTATCCAGTGACTTGCGGGTTGGGTGTTGTGAGGTGGCTTTAAAGTCTTGTTTGGAGTTTCATGCATTTTGAGGTGGCGGAGCAGTGTGAGAGGACCATTTATACATAAGAACAAAGACAATTCTGGAACCAAATATAAACAGTTTTCCAATTCCCCACTATTTCAGATTTCCTACATAACATCTCCTAGTCAGAGACATAGATACTCATATTTGCTTAAGTGTTTTATTTTGTAATTTTGGTCGGAGCATTTACTGAAGACCACCCCAAATGTCACAGGAAATAGCAAAACACACAAAACAGTAGTAGACAGTCAAATATCACAATTTTGCTCTGCATATATTTCTGTATTCTCTTGCCTTCTCACCTCTGGAAGTGGTGAGCATCGTGAAAGAAGCAGTTTTCCTTCTCATTCCTGTTTGTATCTCTGAAATTTCTGCTCTGAGCCTTGGCCATAGTAAATACTCATTCAACATCTGTTGAAAAGAATTGAATTAAAATTCCTGCTGTGAATGTCCATTTTTAAAAATGAATAGGATATTAAATAATCTGAATTTTTTAATGAAAACTCATTAAAACCATTGGGATGCTATAAAATATCGGGCTATATATCCAGGTTTTTTTGCCTTTCCAATCTAAACCAATTGTTTAGTAAAAATAGACTTTCCCCTCTAGACAGCCTATTCAGAATATGTACCCATTCCTGAAATAGCACGACTTTGGAAACCTGTGAGTTTAGATTCAAAATCTTGCAAGAGATTACTGAGCCAGAAAGAAAGAGCCCACATCTCTTAAAAACCTCTAACACAAATAAGCAGCAGAAATATTTGCAAAAAATGTAGCTAATAACACAGTGACTCTTTTACAGATGAACTGGCATTGCAGTTTCTGACATATCACTGTGAAGTTTTGCTTTTCAACTTGAGGTTGACCAGCTTTATTCATGTAACCTCACAGGGGATGATATTACATCACCTTCTACATGCAATCTGCACACAGTTGTTAAAGACCTTTAACTCTAATGTGCACTGACCTCTTGAACATTTGCTCTCACTGGTGGTTTCCAATTTCTTCTATATCAAGTGGTGACCTTAACATTCTAACTCACAGATATAGCTATTAGAACTGAGCTGACAAGATAAATGACTATTCTTAACCACCCCAATCATGTTTTTATTTTTCAGAGATTTAGCTGATAGTTTCGTCTTTTCAATTTGCCGTTTACTTCTCCTGAATAATGGCCATTTCATGATTAATTTGCATCTCCCGTAAAAGAAAAAGTACTCAAATAATGTAATTAGCAAATATGATTTCTGCGCTTTATGGTTTGATATTATTGATCAACTTCTTTGTTTTTTCAAAATTAAATTGAGTAGCAGTATATGCAATTGTGTATACTCACGATTGTCTAAAGCTTCGTTTCGTTCCACATTTGCAGATTTCATCATTTACCCTATTTTCCCCAGTCCTACAGTTCTCACATTTACCTACAATTATTTTTAAAAGACTTTATCATCTAGGTGACTATAAAAAACTTTGTCTAGCCCTAATTGTTCCTGTAGGTTAGTTTCCGCAGTTTATGCCCTCTATTGATATTTATCTTCCTGCCACCTGATACTAAATACGTCTGAACCCAAGTTTATTCTATCCAGGCATCCTTATTCTCAAACTGTCTGTCCTTGATGATCATCAGTGGCAGAACAGTTCTGTCCCAGCTTTTGTCAATAACAAATTGAGACGTATCCTTCAATTATGTCCGTGTAAATTATCTATCCTACCTGAAGGATTATTTTTCATTTACCAGGATTTTAGCCATCCCAATTAATATTTAACGTTTAGTCAAGATATCCATCAATTGGCTTAACTGAGTTTGTAGCTGCATGCTTGCCTAAATAATGATATACAGCTCCAAGGTAGTCAGACAAGAGACTTTTAATGTTAATGAGGATTTATTTAATGGACAATAATAGTTTCATTATTTAAACACTAAGAGAGTAAGGACTACAGTCAAAAATCAAACTACTCTATTTCCTGAATTATTCATCTGTTTCCATTTGGATATCATCCTTGGAACATGTTGTAATTTAAAACAGTTGTGATTGTTTTATGATCATTAATTTTTTTACTGAAAGAGTTAACGCATTTCTAAGTGTCTGATAGACATCCAAAAATAGCTTTATTTAACTTGACAATACATATTTAAGTTATTTTGAAAATAATGGAAAAATCTTATTAATAGCTGTTTTCTCTTGTGGGGTGTGGTGAATACTAATTTAGGGCAGGTGAAGGCAAAGCAATTTAACATTTCCCTTGTTAGTTCCTTTGACCTACAAGTTTGGAGGTCTCTGCAATACCCTTGAGTTTTTTTCCACAGGATAATGTGATAGTTGCTAAGACTTTGCTAAACACTTTTCTGTTTTGCTGTTAGGGTCTACCTGTATCTTGTTCAGATATTTATTTTCTACATTGTTCTTACCTCCAAGAACAGGAAAAAAATATGTATGTATGTATGTGTGTGTGTTGCTTATAATTATTTATAACACATGATATATTAATGTAGTACTATATTATATGTAATTCTTGCCACATAAATTGTCTCTTGGTTAAAGTTGATGTTACTCAAGGAGTGCTCTCTAACTTGGTCTTATGTAATGAATTTGTGTGTCTGATGAATTGTGTGTATTGCTTTTATTTTAAACTGTGTGGCCATTGGCTTTAACCCACCCATGTGGTCCCCTCCACGATTGTGGCCATTCTCATTGTCCTCAGTCTTTGTTAGTCTTGCCTCTTCAACCAGACCAAGAGAATAAATTCATGACAGTACATCTTCAAGGAAACTGAGTGAAAGCCTGCCAGAAATAACTTACTGAAGTAAACAACTTGATTTCCTGTAAGGCATCTCTGGGTCCTTTTATCTTCTGAGTTTCTGTTTGCATACTCTCACTATCTCGAGTCAAGGCTGAATCAAAGCCAAATCATCCAGTAAGAGGTGCTTAGCTCTGCAAGTCAGCCAGCCTGGAGTGCTACTCCCAGCTCTGTGAATTCCAATAACCCCTAAAATTTCCTGGATTTCATTTCCCTTGTTTGTAACATGAAGTAGTTGGATTAAGTTATCTGAAGTTTCCTCCTATCTGAATGCTCTGTGATTGAGATAACTCTAAACAGAATTGAGAAAAGGTAGTTTGACTTCGGTGAATCTCCACTTGCAGCTTGGTCTGTCTGGCGGTTCCTGGTACACTCATACTGCCAAGGCCTCCATGACACATGAGTTGCCCGCCTGAATCCTGACAAGTTTGAGCTGGTGACCTCTGAGCCTAGGCATTGTCTGCTTTGTTTTGAAATAATGCAATAAATGCAAGCTGAGATGAAAGCAGCTTCTAGTCTTCCTCATTGTCTTCTACTCCTTCAGCTCCTTTACAGGCTCAGGAATGTTTTACAATAATACTTACGTCAAGTAGTAGAGAAAACTGCCATTTTCATACATTTCAATGGCAGTTTAAATTAGTATAATCTTTATAAAATCTAAATGAAGTAATAAGTAACAAGAGGCTTTCCAATTTTTTTTTCCTAATCTTTGACCCAGAATTTCAACATTTAGGACTTTGCTTTCAAGAAATAATATCAGGAGGGGCACATAAAGATATAAATATAGCACTATTCCTGGTGGAGGGGGAGGAATTGGAAACAGAAATGTCCAAAATATGGTAGCAGTTGAAAACATTATGAGGACTCCTGTAACGGAATATTATGTAGCCATCAAAATCATGATTTAAAAAATACTAATATGGCAAAACTCTGGTTAATATCAAATTAAAAATGATACAAAACTGGATAAGCAGTCTAATTTTTAATTGGGAAAATTCAGGAAAAAATACAAAAATAAGCAAAAATATATGGATTCCCATCATCCAAGACTATTTTTTATATATTTGTTAATCTTTCATATCTCTACTAAAACCAAGTATTGCTTTGTAATATGAACAAAAGCAAAAACAGCAAACAACAAAAACAATTTTTATTTTAAAGAATTTTTCTGTGTCAATGGCCAAATAGTAAGAAGAAACCAAAAATATATATGTGTGTGCTGGGGGTGGTGAGAACCAGTGATACCAATGCACAGAGAGTTTGTATGTATGTAAGTGTGGCAATCATGCAGACACATGGAACCTTTAAAAAATAATGTAGCAGGATTTTCTGAGCAGGGTTTCTCAACATTGGCACTAAGGATGTTTGAAGCAGATAATTATTTGGTGGGGGGTTCTCTGTGCATTATAAGATGTTTAGTAATATCTCTGATTTCTATCCAATAGCTGCCAATACAGCCTCCCCTGTCAGCAATTTGTAACAACCACATAATATCTTCAGGTGTTACCAGATTTCTCTCAGGTGGGCAAAGTCAACCCTGCTTGGGAACCACTGCCTTAACACTACATTCTCCTAGACTGTTTCTTTTTTAATAGCAAACCAGAACTATTATTGGATTTTTTTTTAATCTTAAAAGCAGAGGAACCAGATAAAAATTATGGTGAGCAAAAGTGTCACATACTCTCAACAACTAAGTATCTTTCTTTTAACCTTCTCAGGTATTGGCACTGTCTCCTAAGACAGGGCTTCCCCATGCAGCAGCTGGGGCAGGATTGCTCAGAAGCGCCTGATCCTGAAATAATATCCTCTTTCAGTCTCTAACATGTGACAGTCAGGCATGGTTTCAAGCACTATTTTTATATCCCTAGGTCCACCCCATCGCCAGTCCATGAGAAATGTATCTGCCGCAGCTCACGTATCCAGGCAAGAGCCACTTATCCCTTGTGTGGAAAGTGACATTCCGCAGAGGTAGGTAAACCATGTATCTTGGCCCTTGGCATCTATAATGTTAATGATAAGAACAAAATCCACATTTCCAACAAGATAATCTCTTTGATCTCTGGAAGTTCATTACAGAATAAATACCATTAGTCTTTATGATGAAAGAAGGTCCATTAATAAA